CTGACTTCAGCTCAGGAGCAAACAGGCTGGGGTTAAAATCCAGATCTCACAACCTTCTCCTCAAGGGCCTCTTGAGCTAGACTTGCAGGTCTGGGCTTCAATTATAATGACTCCACCTCACAGGGTGCTGTGATGACCATTCTGTGCGGACTGGCTTGCAGAACATGCAAGAGTCAAGTCTTAACTGAAGTCAACTCAGGAAATAAAAATGATGTCTTCTTTGACTAAATTTGACTAAAAGAGGAACTGGCTCCCTGTTCATCTCTGCATCTTTCCAAATCTTACCCAAAAGATGCACTTGAACTCCTTGAGCTGGAACTCCCATTGGCGGCCATCAGCACCAGCTCTGCTGACCTGGAACACCAGCCGAGCCTCTGGAGTCTCCACCTACTTGCAGCTCTCAGGATTTTGCTCAGTCTTTGATAACTAAACAATCTGCATTATTGCCCCAGGCCCAGCAACCACCCAATCCCAAACCTTCCTGGAGCCTCCTACAGAGTGGTTAGTGCAGGAACTACCCAGAGACCTGTTTCCACAAGGTCTCTCTTTAACTAAAGAGATCCCAAGGTGGCTTTAACTGACAGTCATTTATCTCCTACAATAAACTGAAGGCAGCACACAGCAAAAGAGGGTGTAGGGGAAATCTGAGGGCTCTAATCTGCTGCTCTTGACTTTCCTTGTGCTATCCTTTGACTCAAGGTCACAAGAGAGCCGGTTCCCTTCCAGACCTCAGTTCTGTATTGGGGGCAGAAAAAGGAAAAGGAACCAACAAAGACAACAGTACTTTTGCTGTGAGCTGCCTTCAGTTAAACAGAGGGATGACACGTGGTTACCTCTCGGTAGAATCTGGAAGTAAGCAGTTTAGATGGATACACTGATTTACAATATATGGGTAATATTAGTAAGGAAGAAAGATAAAATATAGCAAGAAAACTGTAGCCCATGAACAAAAACCAGTTCACTATTTGTGTTTATAAATAAAGTTTTATTGAAATGCAATTGTGTCCATTTGTTTACAATGCTAAGATTGTTAAGAATTTACTAATACTGAAATTGAGTGTTTATTCAATACTCAGTGTTGACTCGTGGTAAGAAACTACTTGGTATCTAGAGTTTAAAATGTTTGCTCTCTGATCCTTTACAGAAAAACTTGCAAACCCTCCTGGAGTAGAAAAGCAGTAGTGTCTGGCACAGGTACTAGCAAAAGGCAGACTTCTCTCCTGCCCCAGGAAACTCCTATAATAACCCCCCATATCTTATGCCCAACGTTAAAGCTGGTTCGTGCGAGGCAATGCACAAACTGAACTCAGAGTTGAAGCAATCTGACAATGTGAGTAGGAGCTCCATCAAGCGGTGGGGAACACACCAAAGCTTTCAGGACAGATGGTTCGTGCCAATGATCCCAAGACATGTGAGCCAATGCATGAAGATCATCCATCCCAATGATCCCAAGACACGTGAGCCAATGCACGAAGATCGTTCATCCCAATGATCCCAAGACATGTGAGCCAATGCATGAAGATCGTCCATCCCAATGATCCCAAGACATGTGAGCCAATGCATGAAGATCATCCATCCCAATGATCCCAAGACATGTGAGCCAATGCATGAAGATCGTCCATCCCAATGATCCCAAGACACGTGAGCCGATGCATGACAGGTCAGTGGTCCGTTGTTGTGTATATTTTCCCCCAAAACTGTGATTGAAGACACGCACAGAGCCTGGGTTTTATGGGCAAACTAAGAATCCAGACTTATACCTCATGCTCCCAGAGGAAGCACCATTACCTACTGAGCCGCCTTTATAGCCCTGTCGCTTTTGGTTTTTGAGACAGATTCTCACTATGTAGCCCAGGCTGGACTGAGACTCATTATGTAGCCCAGGCTGGACTGAGACTCACTATGTAGCCCAGGCTGCCTTCAAACTGATCATTCTCCTATGTAGTGATAGTTCATTTGTATTTTAATGTATAAAGCTTGCCTGAAGTTCAGAGAGTAAAACAGCCCCGCTGGTCAGCCTCATAGACCAGGCAGTGGAGACATGTCTTTAATCCCAGTAGCCACCTAGTTTGCCATAGAAACAGGGCGGTAGTGGTGCACACCTTTAATCCCAGCCCTAGAGAGGATTATAAAATGGGAGGAGCCAGCTCTCAGTCTCAGTCTGAGGATTCCCCAAGGCAGGATCACCAGTTCGGACTGAGGTAGAGGTAAGAACCAGTGGCTGGCTGTTTTGCTTTTCTGACTTGCAGGTTGAACCCCAATTTCTGTTTCTATGTTTTTATTAATTTGCTACACTCCTGTCTAAATCTCCCAACACTAGATGCCCTGGCATCTTCACACTTGATTTCCTGGTTGAGTTTACTGACTTTGCCCTTGCCAAGGATGAACCAGTTGGAATTTAATTACAGTGTCAATTGCACCGAATGCCACATAACTGAACAGCAATTTCAAGGAAGCAAGCAAACATAACCTCAAAACAGACCAGTTTCTCTTGAAGACCAAGGCCAACCTGCCTGACTCAGAAGAGTCCGCCCAAAAAAGGCAAATGGTTGATAACCAATTTCCTCCAATTGTTCAATCCCCTGCTGCAGTGTTGGTGACTATGTGTAAACTCCCGAGAAAGGTCGGTGAGGGGACACTCGCTCATCAGCAGGGAAAGAGCCTCCCCTCACCGGCTCTCTGCTGGTTTAGTTTCTCCTCAGCTGACACCCAGAAATTTCAACATAATTATCTAGGCCACCTGTAACAAACTCCTTTCTGGAAAATGCTACAAATGAGATTAGTAAGTGGCTAATGAACCTAAACCTGGAGTTCAACTTCCTTGTGATGAACCTAAGCCTGGAGTTCAACTTCCTTGTGACCTGAGCACTAGTCCTTTTAGCAATGTTTTCTGTGAGTGTGCCCTTCCCCAGTTGCGGGCCTGACAGTGTCCCTGAAAAAGCCTCTCTTGAAGGGCAGGATTCTGAGGATATGATGATGTTCTCACAAATGCTTCCCCTAATTCCCTAACTTAGTTACAATAAACCGCATGCAGCCCCCGGTGAGGCACACAGGGCTCCCAGGCACAGCTTCTCAGATGCCACAGGGACCTCTCTCTCCTAATGGAGCGCTTGCCCCTTCAGGCTGGACAACTGCAACCAGTGCCACTCCTGTCCTAGTGGAGAGCGTAGCTGTCCATAAAAACCAACAGATCTAAGCTAAATGTGCTTCAACTTTATATTCTGGCAAATAGTACTGATCCCTACCCTTTCCCTGGCTGTACTGGGATTGAACCCAGACCTTGTACATGGCAGGCAAGCAGTCTAACAGAACTATACCTACAACCTTTTATCCATGTCTCTCGTGTGTGCCCACACCTGCCTTTTATTTTGGGACAAACGCTTCTTATTTTGAGATACAGTCTCACTAAGTGGCCTTGAATTTTCTCTGTAACCCAGACTTTTTATCTTCCTACCGCAGCTGGATTACAGGCCCTTTACCATCAGGCCTGGCTAATAGAGTATTATTTGAAATATTTTAAACACGACATCTTTATGGTCAACCACACAAGGAACAAGACTGAAACCCCAGGGAAGCCAGCTCGGCCTGGGACAAACTTGCCCGCCCAAAATTGGTGCTAGAAAGAAAGCACAGACAAGCCAGTCCTCCCAGCTCGGGAGTAAAAGACCTAGAGCTGGTGCCTGCTCAGACCAAGTCCGCGGGACGGGGAGGGGTACCCTCCTCCGGTAGTGGTGGCAGTTCCCCCACCCACGCCCTTCTGGAAGCACCAGCTTGAACCCGCAGAGCCAGGAATGCAGCCTTGTCAAGGGGCGCGCCAGCGATGGTAACAGGACTGAGGGATCCCAGTAGGGCTGAGGCGGAAGGTGGGAGACAGGGTTGTTCTTAGATAGAGGAAAGGGGCCTTCTGGCAGGGTTCCCGGGGTAACCGCCCCACCTCGCCCAGAGCCCGACGTGGCGTGCGCTGGGGACAGCGAGCAGGAAGTAGTAGGGGGGAGCGGCTTGGACAGCGTTGCAGGTGCAGACGAGGGCGGTGCTGCCAGGTACACCCGAGGGCACCGCGGGGTGAGCGTCAGGTCCCTGAACCAGCCAGCAGCGCGCGCCAGGGCGCCAGAGCCGAGTCCAGCGGACCGACGGTACGTTCTGAAAAGGGAAGGAATCCCGGACGCGGGATGCTGCATTGGGAGCCTCAGAGGCTGTGGTCTGGGAGTCCAGAATGGACTTCATCTGGTGGAGGCGAGGTGGCTTCCGGCCTCTGCAAGTGCTGCTGGGGTCTCTGGGACCTTGGGCCCTCCCGACTACGTTTGGAAAGGGTGAAAATGGAGGGAGGGGGAGGGAAAAAGGAGAGGGCTGCAACAAGGTCTTCCCAAATAGCCTGGGCTTCAGGAGCGGGGGGTGTCGTGGCGCAAAGGGCTGTTGCGGGGATGGTATTTTATTTTCTGGGAAGATGGTGTAGAAGCAACTGACCAAGTCTAGGCGATCTGAAGAGGCCAGGGGAACAGACAGCGAGGGTGGCGGGGCGAGTGACAGAGCCCTTCCAGGAAATGGGAGAGGCTCCAGCACCTGCGAACCCTTCCCTCTCCTCCGGGGCTTCCCAGAAGAAGAGGGCAGGACCACGGACACAGGTGCAGACGTGCCGGCGCCCTCCGGCTGGCGCTGGTGCGCGCTGTCGGCGGCCGCGGGAAAGGCGAAAGGCCCGGGGAGCAGGGCCCTTTAAGGCTGCCCGGAGGCGTGTCAGGAAATGCGCGCTGGGCCCGCCTCTCCCGGGACGCGGCCCCGGACCTGCCAAGCTGAGCCGGAACTCGCACTGGCTCGCAGCCTCGGTGAGGCCTTGCGTCCGCCACACCTCTGTCAGTGTCCCTCAGGTCGCCTCCCTGAACTCCGTGGCCTCCCTGCAGCCCGCTCTCCCGTAGGCTCGGTGAGCGCTTTCGGGCGCTCCTGCAGCCCGCCCTCCGCGTAGCCCACGCCTCCCTCTCAGTCCTCTGCTCTCCACGCGGTCCGCGTCCTGTTCTTTCCTCCTCCTCCACCCTGCCCTCTGTCCTTTTTCCTTCCTTTCTCCCTGTGACTCGTCCCTATTAGACACCAGCCCCCTGTCTTCCAGCCGGCCATGGCTGTCAAGGCCCACACCCTTAGCTAGTCCCTTCTCCCTTGCCTGGGTCTTGTCTCATGACCCCTCCTCTGGGAGCGAGCGCGATGTGGAGCGGTGCATCTGGTCAAATCCGGAAGCAGAACTTCTTCCAAGACCGAGGGGACCGTTAGGTCACCCCATGTGACAATTGAAGGCTGCACCCACAGACCCTATCAGCTTGGAGCCCTGTAGACCAGGGAATGTTTCTGGTCGTGGGGTGACCCAGCTCTTCTGCCACCATGAACAGGGCCCCCCTGAAGCGGTCCAGGATCCTGCGCATGGCGCTGACTGGAGCCTCTGTGGCCTCCGAGGAGGCCGATGCAGACAACAGGAACAAGCCATTTCTGCTGCGGGCGCTGCAGATCGCGCTGGTGGTCTCTCTCTACTGGGTCATCTCCATCTCCATGGTATTCCTCAACAAGTACCTGCTGGACAGCCCCTCCCTGAAGCTGGACACCCCTATCTTCGTCACTTTCTACCAGTGCCTGGTGACCTCGCTGCTGTGCAAGGGCCTCAGCACTCTGGCCACCTGCTGCCCTGGCACGGTTGACTTCCCCACCCTGAACTTGGACCTCAAGGTGGCCCGCAGTGTGCTGCCGCTGTCGGTGGTCTTCATCGGCATGATTAGCTTCAATAACCTCTGCCTCAAGTACGTGGGGGTGGCCTTCTACAACGTGGGGCGCTCGCTCACCACAGTGTTCAATGTGCTCCTGTCCTACCTGCTGCTTAAACAAACCACTTCCTTCTATGCCCTGCTCACGTGTGGCATCATCATTGGTGAGTGGGGCCCGGGACCGTGGGGAGCGGGATGGGAGGCGAACTGAAGTCCTAAAGGTCAATACTGTGGGCACCTTTACTTTATCCCTTGCATCAGCAGTCAAAGGAAGAGCCCTGCAGAAAACAACTTCCTTGTGGTCACTCAGCAAGTTAGGGACACAGCCAGGGTGAAAGTAATTATGTTAGCAGCAACTACAGTGAGTACAACTGTCACTGCCTGCATGCTTAAAGTGTGCCAGGCACTCAGATCTAAGGATTGGATTCTCAACTAATCCCCATGACAAGGTAAAATATACCTGCATTTTACAGAAGGAAAACCAAAGCACAGAGAGGCTATGTAACTCGACCAGCATCACACAGCTAATCACTGCCCTAGCTGGGATTTAAACATAAGCAGTTACCTCCACAGATCACACCTTGACCACCATGCCGCTGTTCCTTCTCAAGAGCTCCAGGATCCTGATTGTCTGTCCAGTGTTCTTTTACAAGGACAGCGCACTTTTAATGAGCTCACTGTCTCCCTCTGACATTGCTACCTTGAGGTAACATCTGAAATAGTGGGTAGATACATGTCTTAAAATTTTTTCTTCCTTTTTGTGTGTGTGTGTGTGTGTATGTGTGTGTGTGGAGGACACCACAGTGTATGGGTGGAAATCAGGACAGTTTGAGAACTGGTCCTTTCTACCATCATCAGGATTGGCACAAACACCTTAACCCATCTTCCCAGACACGAATGATCATTGTACATGTAGCATCCTTTTTTACCCAGAAGCCCTCCCTGTAGTCACCAGCATACAATGGAGGAAACGGAAGCTTGGAGAGGCTAGGCCCCACAACTAAGACAGTCTGGGATGCCACACTCTCTGGCCTGTGTTTCAAGCCAGTCCGCTTTGTTCCCGCCCATTGGAAGTTAGCACGGTTCAGTCAAACACAATAACTACAGACCAAATGTGCTTTTAAATTAAAGTCAGATGAACTTTTAAACATCTAGCTCCTCAGCTGCAGGAGTTATAGCCTGGTTCTGTGACCGTCTTTGCATGTCCGGTAGTCATGTGTAGCTGGGGCTCCTGGCTTGGCAGCATGTGTTGGGGTCTGGCACTGGGAGCGTGGCTCTGACTGCTAGTTACAGAGACCAAGGCATCGGCTCCCTCCGAGTCCGACCTTCATTTGTACCTGCTCAGGTTCTTTAGTTTGTCTTGTTTGGCCTACTTTCTCTTCTCTGGTGTCCCAAAGGCCCAGGCTAGGCGCTCTGGATGTGGGGACCAGGCTGATGCTCACATCTGCCCTAGAAATGTTCCTCAGGCTGAGCAGCCCCTGAATCCGGCAGTTAGGGGTCTGGGCCAGAGAGGGGCGGGTAAAAAGCTGTCAGCACTGGGTGACTCCCGCCTGCCCTCACACTTAGAACACTCTAAGAGAATAGTATTCCTTACTTCCTCTTTACTTCCTCTTTGACCTACAAGGTGCCCTGCCAGGGTTGGAAGGAATGGGCCTCCTAGGGGGAAATTTACGTGCAGGAAGGTTCAGTCACTAGAGAACCTGCGCCCAGGGCCCCCGAAGTCACAAGTTGCTGATAGTGAGGCAGCTGAGAACCATGACAGTCTGCCTGGGTGGCATGGGAAAGTGGAACTCTGCTGCCCCCAGAACTGGCCTCCTCTGTTGGGTCTCCCTTCCTTCCTCCTGTGAGGGAGGGCCCATCTCTGATAAGGGCTGTGGGGTTTCCAGAGAGAGCAGGGAGCAGAAGGAGCCATCTAGGCAAGGCTTGCAGAGAGGCTGCCAGAGTAGTGCAGGCTGGGAACACACATTTGAATGAGTACAGTTTTCCTGAAGGGGACGGGAGCCATGGAGGAAGATCATTTTAGTTATAAGACAAAGAGTAGGTTGGTCAACATGGAAGCAAGAATATGGCCCCAATTTTTACAGATGAAGGAAATTGGAATTCATAGAGATTAAGTAATTTCACCCAAGTAGCTCAGCTTTAAGACTTCAGAGCAGTCAGAATCCAGATCTCGCTGATGTCTGAGCTTGTCCTCCCATTCTGTGTTGCTGATCCCTGTGGCAGCAGTAAGCCTCTGCCTTGTGGGAATGCAGGATCTAATAAAGAGACCAGAGTGCTGCCAGGGGCAGGCACCTACCAACCAGGGACAGGCACCTACCATACAGGAACAGGCACCTACCAGCCAGGGACAGGCACCTACCAACCAGGAACAGGCACCTACCATCCAGGAACAGGCACTTACCAACCAGGGACAGGCACCTACCAACCAGGGACAGGCACCTACCAGCCAGGGACAGGCACCTACCAGCCAGGGACAGGCACCTACCAGCCAGGGACAGGCACCTACCAGCCAGGGACAGGCACCTACCAGCCAGGGACAGGCACCTACCAGCCAGGGACAGGCACCTACCAGCCAGGGACAGGCACCTACCAGCCAGGAACAGGCACCTACCAACCAGGGGCAGGCAAAGAGCAATGTGTTAAAGGGCAGAAAACAGGAAAGTGGGAAGAGGCCTGGATGATCTGGGTGGATGTAGAAGCGATCCCCCAGAGAGCATGGCTTTGACTTCAAAGAATGGCAGAGTCCCTGGAAGAAGGAGCATGTTTTGGATGCAGCTAAACAGCTTTGTATTGTGAGGAGCTGAGAGGGAGGGAGGCTTGAGGAAGTGCTAGCCAGATGTGGGAAGCCCAGTGCTGTGGCCTGGGGAACCAAGCAGGCTCTTTGGACAAAAGATGACCCAGGAATAAGTAGAGTCCCCAAGTGACTCTCCAAGCAACATCTGGCCAGGAGCAACTCTGACCTAAAGCTTAAACTGATGGAGCCAGAGCCAAGGCTTAGAGTCCTGTCACTTGCCCAAGGTCACTTTAGCCACCAACTGGCCCTCCTCCTATAGAACCGTTACCCCTATAGGACATCAGGTACCTGTCTGTCCTACAGCCTTCATTACAGCGATCACAATTGTAATTTGAGAGGTGACAGGGTCACACTGTCCTTTCTACCGTCCCCTCCTGCTAGATTGTGCCTGGAGGAGCTGCAGGGCTGCAGGTTCTGGGTTCTACTCCCTCAGCCCTTGTTTGGTGCCAGCATTAGACTTTGGTTGTGTTGACAATGAGGTAAGGACCACGGAACAGTCTGAACCGTGGTCTCAGAATCCTGTCCCTTGCCTCCTATCCTTATCCCTTTTCACTTTGCCACTCTTCTTTCTCTGCTGCAGGTGGTTTCTGGCTGGGTATAGACCAAGAGGGAGCTGAGGGCACCCTATCCCTGATGGGCACCATCTTCGGGGTCCTGGCCAGCCTCTGCGTCTCCCTCAATGCCATCTACACCAAGAAGGTGCTCCCGGCAGTAGACAACAGTATCTGGCGCCTGACCTTCTACAACAATGTCAATGCCTGTGTGCTCTTCTTGCCCCTGATGGTTCTGCTGGGGGAGCTCCGTGCCCTCCTTGACTTCCCGCATCTGGACAGTGCCCACTTCTGGGTCATGATGACACTAGGTGGCCTGTTCGGCTTCGCCATCGGCTACGTGACAGGACTGCAGATCAAATTCACCAGTCCCCTGACCCACAACGTGTCGGGCACAGCCAAGGCCTGTGCACAGACGGTGCTGGCCGTGCTCTACTATGAAGAAGCTAAGAGCTTCCTGTGGTGGGCGAGCAACCTGATGGTGCTGGGTGGCTCGTCAGCCTACACCTGGGTCCGGGGCTGGGAGATGCAGAAGACCCAGGAGAGCCCCAGCTCCAAAGAGGACGAGAAGAATGCCATTGGGGTGTGAGCTCCTGCAGGGTCAGCTGCTGTGGCCCTGAGCACTGTTGTTTACATCCTCCTCGGAATGCGATCTAAGAGGAGCCAGGGTCTTTCCTGGTAATGTCAGAAAGCTGCCAAATCTCCTGTCTGCCCCAATGCATTTTGGGGAATCCCTACTGGGAGTGGCACTCCTTCCTGCCTCCTTCTGGGGCCTGTCTACCTCCATATCGCCTTTGGGGTTGGGGCCAGCTGCAACCTTATGGGGCTGGATTGATGAAATAATGTCTTGCCTGCCGCACAGGGGAAACGGGTTATGACCCCGCTATGGCTGGTTGAAGGGAGATGGATGGCCCCACATCTCTGGGGCCCAGGGCAGGTAGAGCGGTCGCTCAGGTGCTGTTAACATCAGGAACACCCCGCCCGCCTCTGAAGGGAGGTGGGAACTTGGCCGGTCTGCCCTCTTCTGTATGGATGGGTGTGGCAGACCCATCCATGGCAGCTGCACCCAGGAGTGGCTGCTAAGAAGTGTTCACCTCTGCACTCCTTATTTTCAGCTTTAGAACAGGGGGAGCCACCCATCTTTGCAGATTAAGTAGGGTGATGAGCCCCTCTGCACCCCCAACCTTGGCTTTATCTGCCTGGCTTCTCTTGGCCCAGCTCCCTGGCCATACTCCCTTTCTGTACTCTTCTCCATCACTGCCCCCCCAACACCTTCATCTCTATGCAGGAAGTGGGGTCTGTTCCCGTGTGCTTGGACCCCCAAGTCCCTGTGATAGTAAGAGACATTTATGTTTTCTGAGGCTGGGGCTAAAGGAGCCGACTGGCTCAGAGTTGGCCCATCTGGCTCCTGTCACAAAATAGTCCAGACCAGGTGGCTAAGAACAGAAGTTGGTTTGTAGGTTCTGGGGCAGCAAAGCCCAGATCAAGGAGCTCATAGACCCAGTGGTTCAGAGAAAACTCCTTCTGTGATAGAAGCACAGACGGGCTGAACACCAGCCCCATTCATGAGGGTTCTACCCTGTTACCTGATCACCCCCAAAGCCTTCAATATAAGGACTCCAACATGAATTTGGAGACAGAAGCACTCAGACCATAACCCCAGCACCACACCCTCCTAACCTCAGGGTAGCTGCCATTCCCCTAATCCCTTCTCTTGGGCCTTTTGTGCCCCCGTTTCCTTGGGGGTAATTTCTGATGTTTCTATTCCTGTCATAAAAGGATGGGGAGAATGTGTCCAGCCTGTGATTCCTACTTCCCACAATCCCAGGTTCTAATGAAGTTGGTGGGGCCTGATGCCCCGAGTTGTATGTGATTTAATTAAAAAAAAAGAAAGAAAGAAAAAACCAAGACCTAGCATGTGTGTGGACTGAGTGAGGGACACAAGGCTCAGTGGGATCTAGAAGCCAAGTCTGCAGGGACCCAGCTACAGCAGGCAGCCTTCCCGAGCCTGCAATCTCTTGGGACAAGGATTCTCCATACACCTACCCTGGGAAGTGGGTGGCCAGAGTACGAGTCTCTGTTAGCATCAACTGCTACTGGCTGTGTGCTTACTGAGAGCAGACGGTCTGTCACTCATCTCCACAGCCATTCCTACTGTGGGGTGAGCCATCACTGATGCTCCCATTTTACAGATGAGGACACTGAGGCTCAGAGAGGCTTGTGTGGAAAAAAGTAGCAGAATTCAGACGGAGAGCTGGGCCTCCTGCAGTGCCTTGGGCTACCACCAGCTACAGTGCTTGACACAGGGCAGATGCTCAAAAGAATGCTTGCTCCCTCAGCCTAGAGACAAGAGGTCTTTCTCTCGGATGAGGAAGAGGGCCAAAGCTATGTTAACTTGCCTGACCACATACCTGACCAACAACTTGAAGGAGGGAGAATTACCGTGACACCCAACTTCAGAGTGTCAGTTCACGACGGTAAGTCATATGAATGAGATCCAACTGTGTTGGGTCCTTGTGACTCAGTCACTCCTACCAGAATGCTGGGTTGGGGGGTGGTGCAGGCAGATGCCGAAGGCAACGGAGACTTTCTGAGGTGTGGTGTAGGCTACGCATTTCTGCGCCCATGTTTACCGCTGAACCTTGAATGGAAAAGCCCTGTGGAGGATACACCCTGCAAGTCAATAGCCCTTCCTGGCAGTGGGTGAATGCTGCTACCCTGTGCCCTTCTGCAAGGCCAGCAGAACCACTCAGCCCTCAACATCTAGAGGCACTACCGGTCATTGTAAGCCTCTAATATGCAGCAAGAGAGTCCTCGCACACTAGCCTAGGATACGGGGTGTATCGTCTGAGGGAAACTGGGGCTCCTTATAGAACTAGAGGGTCTAAGGAGTCACACTGACAAGAGGTCAGCCATCAGAATCCTGTAGCCAGCAGCAGCGGCTACTCCTGAGTCTCCAGCCAGAGCACCCTGTGAAGGTGCTTTATTCTCACATCTGCGTGTCTGGGGATGGGACTGGGTCACCCAGGCGGCGCTCCTGCTGAGACACTGCAGCAGGTTGAGGATGAGACAGTAAGCCTACAGTAGACCCTGACAGGTAAAAAAAATGAGGCCAAAAACTGCTTTAGTTCTTTTCCAGGCTTGATCTGTCTTCGCTCAAAACTACTATTTGTCCTTAAACTTGCCCAAATCCTTTGCTTTGCAGTAGAGGAAAATAAGGTGTAGAAAGGTTAAAGGGAGTTTCCGAGCTTGTAAAGCAAAGTACTGGTTTCACCTGAAATAGACGGATTTACCCTGGTCCTGATCTAAATGCCTTCCACTAGCTCCAGGTCAGAAGCTGATAGGTGTGTGTGTGTGTGTGTTTTCACTCATGCATAGGCCAGGGGTCAACTTCAGGTGTTACTGTTCAGGACCTATCCTCCTTATTTTATGAGACAGGGTCTCTCCCTGGGACTTGGGACCTATGATCCCACAAGGCTGCCTAGAACAAGTCCCAGGAATTCTCCTGTCCTCAGCTACTTGACTGTGATTATAACCACACATGTCTATGAGACTTGCTTCTGTGTGGGTTCTAGGATTGAACTTGAGTCCTCGTGCTTGCCTAAGGACTCTGCCTACTGCGTTATCGCCCATCTTCACTCATTTAATTTATCACTTTACTTGCAGACACCACTGAGTTTCGCTGTCTGGAGGACCAGTCTCCAGCAGCACAGGGCTCGCAAGGAATCCACAGAGTCTTTGGGCCTAGGGAAAGACACTCACACTCTCTCTTGATGGTTTCCTCCAAACCATTTCTTTATTCCTTTGTATTCTGAATTGTGTTCTCCAGTCTCTTTTTAATCCCTATCCAGAAATGTCCCTTCTGTTTCTCTTGATGTCTTCCTTCTCACTCATTTTAACTCCATCTTTAGTCTTTCCCTTACAGCTTATAAACCCCAACTAAATCTTTATTGGGCAATATAAAAATTGCAGTGTGTTTGCATTATGTTTTTCCAGTGAATGATTACAATGAATACAAGTAAGAAACAGCATGTTTTCCACATCCCTTACATTATTACACACTTTATATATTACAGGTGAAAACCAATTATCCTAAGAACCCATGTACATTCACGTCTAAGTAACTAAGTAACAGAATGTCAGCGAACAGGGTACTTTTTCTCTGCCAATCCTTTTGTTGGGCAGGCCGCATATGGCGGTTATAAAGAAAGACTCGTCACTGCATTATTTATCTTGAGAAGCTATCTTGAAAGAAATCTTAGAGGAATCGCAAACCTAAACTTTTATGCATGAAAAACAATCAGTCAGCTCTACTTTAAGTCTTTAGAATATATACGCACTCATCAATACTTTGTATATCAGGAGATCGAGGGCAGAAAAGGGTGTAAGGAATTAATCATCACCTTTGGTCATCTGCCAATCCTATCAAGAAAGGTACACCAGCTTTGTTCTTGTTCCCTGACCTTAACAAGTTCCTCATTCAACTATGTGACTTTCTGAAACTTTAGATTGTTTACTTGGGCTTTTCACCTCAAAGCTGTTTAACAAAAAGCATCTAATCTAACCTTAAGTTATTTTCAAAGCTTTGTTTCAGCTATGATGCACTCTAAAACCTGTGAACACATCTCCCAACACTAAGATTAGAAGAATTTAAACTAGCTGGGCTACTGGGACTCAATTATTTTTCTTAATCTTTTTTTATTTATTATGTACACAGTGTTCTGCCTCCATGTATGCCTGCAGGCCAGAAGGCACCAGATCTCATTGTAGCTGGTTGTGAGCCACCATGTGATTGCTGGGAATTGAACTCAGGACCTCTGGAAGAACAGTCAGTGTTCATAACCTCTGAGCCATCTCTCCAGCCCCTATTTTTTTTAATCTTTAACCACAGTCTATGGCCCCTCAATAGAAACTCGTGTTTTAGCTGTGTGACACTTCCTTGTTTTATTTTTTATCTTCAAAACTCTGCTTAAACTAACATTATTATCAATTAGATAGAACCGCTTAGGAAGAAATCATCTTCATATAATCCACAGGTAGAAATGCCCAGTAGAATGGGATGCTTCCAGGAGACAAACACACCACATTACAGGCAGTGGGATCTCCCCACACCCACTCACATCAAATCAGATGCCAGAGGAAGAGGGCAGCAGCAAACATGAAGGCCCAGCAGAAGCAAAGGACCTTGTCTACCTGAGATTCACCTGATTTTCCTCCTGATGGCTGATACCTGAAGTGAGTTACTTTCCACTGCTACTCCTCTGACATGGCCACCAGCAACAAGACCAGACAGATGGCTTATCAGGGAAAGGTACTTGCTGCCAAGCCGAGGACCTAAGATCAATCCCAGGCACCTTCGTGATAGAAGAGGACTCACACTCTGACCATTCACACACACCAAGGCAAGAAATTGTGTACAAACAGATAAATAACTAAGGAAAAAAATCTTTTTAAAGAGTCTTTACAATATTCATTTAATCGTCAAAGCAACCCAACATGGGTACAGTTGTCCCCTGTGTAAGACAGGGAGACTGAGGTACACAGGAATGAGTGATTTGAGCTCACATGGCTAGTAAGGGACAGAATTGGGAGTCAAACCTGGTAGTCCCTATCTCAGCCATAAACCATGTTTTTTTTTTTTTTTAGTATTAAAAAAATATATTTTACCATGAGGCTCATGGCTTGTTTCCTCACATCTTGCTTCCCCAGCAGCTACTAGTGTCTCCCTTGACTGCCTTCTTTCTCCCTACATCTGTTTGGATTTCCTGCCTAGCTGTATTCTGCTCTGCCCTAGACCAAAGCGGATTCTTTATTAACCAATAGTATTAAAACATATTCACAACATACAGAAAGGCGTCCCACGTCATGTGGCCATGTCTGGCTTTTTATCTGGGTGGTGGACATCTAAATGCACATCCTCATGATGTTCTGTGAACCCTGACTCTTTGAGGCAGGAGGGCTGGCTACAGAGAGAAGACTTGAGTGTTGTCTGTGGACATACTGTTGCAGCTTGCTAGCTGGCAGGGACCTTGAAATGCCGTAGAGTTGTGGCAATAAACATGACTACAGCTGGTACCTCTGCCATGGGGCTAGAAAGTTAAGGAATGAGCTGGATCTAGCCGGCAAAGCCATGGCTTTAATCCTCTCCATTAAGACTCATGTAGTCAGAAAAAGAGAGATATACAGTAAAGAGAGATTCAAAGACGAAGAAAACCTCTTAATAGTTTACAGTGTGTTCAAAATATATGGAGGCTAAAGGTTAAAGTCCTTAAAAATAAAAAAGAAAGAAAGAGAGTAGTTGGGTGTGGTGGTACACACCTTTAATCCCAACACTTGGGAGGCAGAGGTAGATTGACCTCTGTGACTTCAAGGGGAAGAGGTAAATTGACCTCTGTGACTTCAAGGTGTGGTAGCACACACCTTTAATCCCAATGCCTGGGAGGCAGAGATAGATAGATTTCTGTGAGTTCAAGGTGTTGTAGCACACACCTTTACTCCCAACACTGGTGAGGCAGAGACAGGTGGACCTCTGTGAGTTCAAGGACAGCCTGGTCTACAGAGTTATTCCAGGACAAAGATATACAGAGAACCTGTCTCAAAAAGTAAAAGTAAAAATAAAAGAAATAGAGGTTAAAATAAAGCTGCATAAAGATGGAAAATACACAGAGAATCTTGGTACTGTATGCTGCCATGCTCTCTTTGATGTTTGAATACTGAGGAAGGAGCAACAGCTGCTAAAAGATATTTGCTTATAAATGCTGTTGAACTAATTCCAAGATAGATATTTTAAAAACACCTTGACTTCAAAATTAAAGTCAAAAGGCATGTTACTTTGGAGAAGAGATTTTTCTTTTGTTTCCTCAGGAAATGAGAGGCTATGGATCAGCGCCCAACATGGGGCACGAACC